GTAAGTTCTCTTTGACACATATTTCCTTACCATGTGCCGTTTATGAAATGTAAATGAACCACCTGGTATAATAACAGACAATGAATCAATTTAAATGTCTATATTTCATATCGGATATCGGTTAAAACAATGAGCAAATATTACCTTGGTACAAAGCTGTTCAATCAGAACATTTCGTATCTAACAGATCTGTTTTGAAAACCTGCCTGAAGTAAACCTTACCCAGTTTCTTTGTTATTATAAGTAAATTTCTCCCGGCAATAATTAATGAAAACCCAAGATGTAGTTAACGCAATTAGATGCAGTATCTAATATAAAGTGGCAGTAAAGCATACATGTAGGTTTTGAAACATATAACGAGAATGAAAATGTCAATTATAATTAATTTTAGTGACAGTAAATGTGCTGAACTGAAATATTCACATCAATTACCTAGACTGAATGTTAGAACTATATCCAAACATTTATAGATATTTCGTATGTCGGTGGAAAATAAATAATTACAAACTTGATGATTGAATTCTTCCTTATGCACTTTTCACTAAATAATACCTACAAGAGTTAAGCTTAAAAATTTTTTATGTTTTGCCTTCATAAACTCAAGTATAGCCACCTTTCAAAACATCAAACATTAAGAGATTTTAAATAACCGAAGGCCCCTGGAGCTGAATCCTAGTATGACAAGTAAAAAGTGCCGACATCAGTTATAAACCTGAAACAAACTGGTGCTGGTAACGCTATGGGTGTGGTAAACATGCTACTCAACCAGCTAAAAGTGAACGGAGAACGCATGACGCCCAAGACAAAGAGAGAGAACGCTCCGCCCATAGAGAATAGGCGGGAAGAATGCGTATAGACACTCAGCGGACGTCTGCTTTCCTCTGTGGGTGGTTTATGTAGCGAAAATAGAGTTTTCGGTACATAAAGCATAATTTAATGTTGCTGATCTGACTTTGTATTTTGTTGGAATTTGGTGTTGGATGTTATTTTGAACTGAAGCGAAACAGTTTTTTTGTGCCAGTCCTAAATCACAGGACCCCAAACATATGCAATTCATTGTACTCAAAATAAGAAAGATGTGGATAAGCGACATGTAAAAACTGATTTCAATTGCTTATAGGAGAGAGTGTGTTTGGACTTTTTTGGGTTTTCGTTTAATATAGGGTTATTGGACGGTCAATAAGGGCAAGCAGTATCTGATAAAGTTAGTGGTTTTTGACACATACACCGGCGCAATTTAATCTAAAAATAAAGGATTCCTTAATAAAGATAATGTTCTGCGCTAATTGTGCAGCGATACTGTACAGCTTTATTTCTCCCATAAACTGACAGTTGACAATTCGAACGTCAGTTTGCAAGTTGTTTCATTGCACACATAACCCAATTTATATTGCTACACGCCTTTTTCAGTAAAAGCACATAAAAACCAAATCAAAATACTCGCTTATGGTTCGTTGCCCGATTAAAGGAATTTTTAAACGCAAATGATATATCCAATTTTATTTTCACTATGACTTTGATTTAATGATTTCACTTTGCCTATGACTGCACGTTCTAGAATTTCTTCTATTGCAACAATTAGGTGAAAATGCATCCAAAATACAATAAAAAGTGTAT